AGTTGATGAACCCCCTCCTCACCATGCTGGCTGTGTATGGTGGGACTGTTGGGGTGGGTGTAAATCGAAACAAACCAATCACGTCTTGTCTTTTGACAACTGACAAGTGGCTCAAACTCACACACCTCATCCCTCTCCTCCCATCACTGCACCACTGACAGCTGTTAGCCGCTGTTAGCGGCGCCACTACTACCCAGGCACTACTGCAGCATAACAAAGTCCCACTCTTTGAGCATAATGCAGGATCATGCATATGCAGCATCACGGGAGATGGAATCCTCGTCGCCAAGAAAGCGCAAAGGGGAATCAAAAAGGCAACGCGATTGGCGAATTCAATAAACAAGGGTCAACATCAGGGTAGCCTTTCGCAGGTGGAGAGAGCTGCTGAAGGAGAAAGGTAATGCAATCACAGGCCAGCGCCGCTGTTAGCCGCTATTAGTGCTAACAGCGGCTAGCGGCTAACAGCTAACAGCTAACAGCGGTACAGTGATGCGAGGAGAGGGATGAGGTGTGTGAGGTTGAGCCACTTGTTGCTGTTAGCTGTTAGCCACTGTTAGCTAACAGCGGCTAAGGCCTGTGATTGCATAACCTTTCTCCTTCAGCAGCTCTCTCCACCTGGGAAAGGCTACTCCGATGTTGCCCCTCGTTTTTTTAATTTGCTGGAGTTCAAGAGGTTGGGAGCAGCAATGGAAAAGGGCCTGGTCCCCCAGGTGCGGTGGTTAGTCCTGCTGGGGGAGGCAGGAGGTCTGCATCAGCAGACCTAAGAGTGTGCTGATGGAGGAGCTCAGACAAGAATGAATTCCTTGAGAATGTCACTTTTATTGTTAAAGGGTTAGTGCACCCAAAAATGAAAATTCAGCCATTATCTACTCACCCATATGCTGATGGAGGCCCTGGTGAAGTTTTAGAGTCCTCACATTCCTTGTGGAGATTGGCGGGGGGAGCGGCCAGCACACCTAATGGCTGATGGCGCCCCAGACTAACGTCCAAGAGCACAAAATTGAAACCTCAAAATATCTCCAACATGCCCATCCATAGTGATCCAAATGTCCTGAAGCCCTGACATAAAAAGTTGTTTCAAAAAACGTCATATGAACTCTGTTTATAGCCTCACTGTAGCCTGTAGCTCTGACTGCTTCTCTGTGCTCTGTGCTCACGTGTGCGCACTTGCGCGAGACCAGCGAAAGCATGAGCTTTGCTTACCCGTGTTTACATCACGTGACACGTGCACCGCAGGGGGAGACAACAGTAACCACAGTAGCTAAAAGATAATTTGCACTACGGTCTTTTAGCAAAGGACAGCCCAACATGTCTGAAGACTTTGAAATTGAGGAGGAACAGCATTTCTTTGTTGAGCCGTATTTGTTTGAGCCCGAGTATACAGACGTAACTCAGGCTACTGGACAAAGCAGCCACCGCAGCTCATGAGCCTAACCCTCAGCCAGCCGCAGAATACCGGAGTCGAGCACTGGAAACCTGAGCGTGCACACGTGACCGCGGAGCACAGAGAAGCAGTCAGAGCTACAGGCTACAGTGAGGCTATAAACAGAGTTCAAATGACGTTTTTCGAAACAACTTTTTATGTCGGGGCTGCAGCACACTTGGATCACTACGGATGAGCATGTTGGAGATAATTTGTGTTTTCAATTTTGTGTTCTTGGACGTTAGTCTGGGGCAGCATCTGCCATTAGGTGTGCTGGCCGCTCCCCCCGCCGATCTCCGCAAGGGATGTGAGGACTCTAAAACTTCACCAGGGCCTCCGTCGGCATATGGGTGAGTAAATAATGGCTGAATTTTCATTTTTGGGTGCACTATCCCTTTAAGGGACCAGGTGTTCAGCAAAGTAAATTTCATGTGATTGTGCATGTTGTGAAGTTGTTGTGGGGCTTTGACCAGGGGGCGTAGCCAGGGAGAGCGCATGTGTGTGTTGTTTTGGTGATGACGTATTTGGTGGTGGGACAGAGCGCTCAGGTGACAAAATTGATGGGATGGAGTGATCGGTCTGGAAGTAAATAAACTTGCGATGGGAGCTTCTGTGGATGTATCTAGGCTGTTGCAGCAGTCCAAGAGTTTTGATGGCAGAGATGCATAGAGAACTGGAGGTATTGTTGAGTTGTTGAGTTGTTGAGTAGTTGTGAAGTATTTCAGTGCTCTGCCAGCCGGGATGATGTGATAGCCGGTAGCCAAGGGCTAGTTGAGAGCCAGGCAAATATTTTGATAATTGTTTAAGTCAGTTAGTGTCAGCGTGGGTTTTCTCTGGGTACTCCAGCTTCTTCCCACAGTCCAAAGACATGCAGGTTGGGGATAGCTTAATTGGTGACTCTAAATTGGCTGTAGGTTTGAATGTTAGTGTGAATGGTTGTCTGTCTGTATGTGTCAGCCCTGCAATACTCTGGCAATCTGTCCAGGGTGTACCCTGCTGCTACTTTGGCTGAGTACATTCAAGACTAAGTGGATTTCACCACTGCTTATTGCTGCCTTTTTTGTCTCAAATTCTTGGTCATGTGCCACAGTCTTTGCACACGGCACAACACCTGCCCTTATATGGTATTCAGGGGGTGTTACCTATGCTAATAGGTTACTTGTGATCAAGTGGGATTCATCATTCAGCACACCTGGGTAAGAGCAGATTTGGATGGTTAAGAACATTTGATACATCTGGAGTTGACTTCTGAAATGTAAATGATTGTAGCTGCATGAGGCCCAGAGAGTCATATGAATGGTGAAGTAGTTTATCTCTTGGTGGATCCATCAAATACATGCTCAAGAAGATTTTGGTGTCTTTTGGTGATTTTATTTGATCAAGCCTTGATTCTACATTTCCAAAGTCATTGAAGTGGTATGTTAAAAAACAAACAAACAAACAAACAAACAACAACAATGGAAAAACAGATGGCTTTTAACAAGAAATTCTTGAAATGCCAGCAGACCTTAACTCATTACACTACCAATTTTTACACTTGTGCCAATTCCCTATCTTCTCCACATCATCACTTCTTTCTGATCTTCTCAATTTCCTTAGAGCTGTCCAGATGTCTCTTCATATCTATGAAGTTTATATTTGTAGCAGGAGTGTGAGAGCAGCTCAGCTATTGGCTGGTATACAAAATGGATTATTCAGCTAATTTCCCCCCCGTGGCTCTCCCTATGAGTCCTCTGTAACTGCTGAAATGACACTCCCCTGTCACTGCTTCGAGCTGCACTGACAGCCAGGTGTTACCCTACAGAGTCTTCAGAAACCATGTTCTTACATTGAACATAAGTGAAGAGATGTGCACAAGAGGAAAGTAATACATCACTGTTAACGGAGCATGAGCCATGAGAAAGTAGCTACACTGGTCTGCAATTAGCTCATACATTCTGACATTAGCAAACACGATCAATTTAGACTGTTTCACATCAAAAAAGAAAGATTTCTGTTAGGGTGTATACGTCTGAAATAAAATTTTGATCATGATGTCACACTAAAACTCTGCACTGGTAGCATCCACTGCAGACCATCTTCCTTCTCTTGGTTTATTTTCAGTGTGAGTATCTTTAAACAAACTTCTTGGTACTTGGTACTACATAAGGTAGTTTGAGAAAGGACAAAATGGGGCAATAGTTGGGGGGCTACATCTCTGGTAAGTCTGGGCTGGGAAAGTGAAAGACCAGCACTTGACCATCCATCATTTCCATCACTGGTGGCCCTTGAGGAAGGCATCTAAGCTCAACTGCCCTAGTGGAAATGCTCAGGTCCACAAGGTCAGACTACGACTGTACCGGGCACCTGTCCTATTATATAGCCTAATATCACAAATCACAAATTTGCCCCTGAGGACTTGACAGTCTGTACAGCATATGACACCCTCTGTCCTTAGACCATAGCGTCAGATAAAGGAAAACTCCCCCCAAAATCCCTTTAAATCAGAAACTAACATTCACAATAGCTGCAACCACATACCCACATGCATCCACATGTATCCACTTGTTTATGCATTCACACCAATCCAGTTGCCAGAAAAAATGTTGGCATTGTAATTTGAAATTTCTGTAAACCACAGATACATTTGGACATTATGTATTACATTACTTTGAATCATACGTTATGTAGTGGATACAGCGTTGTTGGTAATGTGAGATGAGGTTCAGGCACAAAAACCACCTGGGTATGATTAGGAAAAGATCATCTTTTGGCTTAAAATACTTGATTTTGGAGACACAATCCTGGCAGGAAAAGCAACAATGTCTCGGTAAAAAACAACTGCTTTTCGTGGTTCTATCCCTGCGGATGGGCTTTTGGCCGTTTGGCTGTTTGGAGCCTTAAAAGCTGCTGGAAACACACCAGTGAGTAGCTAAAAAACAATGGGTTTTGTTGTTTGTTGGTCTTGAACAGTCATCTACAATTGGCAGCTTTCTCGCCAAGGGGGCACGCCATCCACCATCCCCTCCATTTCACAGTCAGTCCATGTATTACATTACTTTATAAAGGCTGATATGATATGTATAAAACGTGTAAATGTAACATGTTGGTTAAACACAAACACACACACTTGATGTACATGCTCAATTTCAGCCTCCTGGGGCAAAAACTGTCCGCCAGGGTTGGACTGACCGATTAACCGACAGAGCGACCTGTAGCTTAAAATGGTAGAAACCTCAGGAAGAGCAGCTGATGTTGATTGTACAGAAAAGACCAACATAATAAGACAAAGACAATCAGGACGACAAAATTCTTGCACTTTTCCACATGGTTGAATGCACTTCTCATAGGTTGCTTTAAACTGTGGCTAAATAAATGCAATGTAATCTTTCCTTTAACAAAATCTTGTTACTTTAAAAAAAAAGAAGAAATTATTAATAGTTAAAAATAACGGAGTATTTACAGGCCATGGTTGCCAGGAGACAGGACCAGATGACTTAAGTTTGAAGAAATTATAAATTCACTGCAAGCTTAATGCACTGTTTTTATGTTGACAATGTCCAACAATCCTCATACAAAAGCTGAATGTCCTGCTTACCGATCATCATCCTCTGCCAGAGCCACCTTCTCAAAGTGAATATGTAGTCTCTGGCCCTCAGGGGCCTCCAGCATCCAGTGGCAGGTCAGGTTGTTGCTGTAGTTGCTTGGAAATCCAGGAGAGACAATTCGACCGACGGTGATGTTCCTGATTAAACCGCCACAGGCAGCTGAGAGAGGAAGAGGAGGGAATGTGAAGATGAAATGCAAAGCCACACTTGATTTTTCATATTTAAAATACATGGAAAGTCAACCAAATTCGCAAAATGATGCTGAGAGCATCATATCCCACACTAACATACTGATCATAGATAACCATATTTGGCCATGTTAAGCTCTGGTGTCAGTACAGACAAATAGGAAGTAACCAGGCCAGAGAATATGGATGCTGTTGATTTTTCATGATTGTGATCACAGCCTAGAGGAACATGTGGGTGGCACTACTTTGATCAGTACACCTGCAGTCATGTCAAAGATATCGTCGGCATTTATGGGAAAGTCCACAAAACGTCACATTCTATCAGAGGTGGGTAGAGTAGCCAAATATTGTACTTAAGTAAGAGTACTGATACTTTAGAACAATATTACTCAAGTAAAAGTAAAAAGTAATCATCCAAATAATTACTTGAGTAAGAGTTAAAGAGTATTTGGTGAAAAAACTACTTAAGTACTGAGTAACTGTTGAGTAACGTCTGATTTATTTGTAAAATAAGAACATGAACGTAATCAATCAATCAAAAATAATAATCTGCAAATTCATGTATTTTAAACGATACCCCTTTAACTAAAACAAAAATAAATTAAATCTTTACAAACATAACATAAATCAAGAAACACAAATATATTCTTATATATACTGTACACACACACACACACACACATATATATATATATATATATACATATATATATATATATATGTGTTATTATGTACTCAGAGGTGGGTAGAGTTGCCACATATTGTACTCAAGTAAGAGTATTGTTGCTTTAAAACAATATAACTCAAGTAAAAGTAAAAAGTATTTTGCATTAAAACTACTCTGAAAAGTACAATTTATCCAAAAAGTTACTCAAGTAAATGTAACTGAGTAAATGTAACTAGTTACTACCCACCTCTGCATTCTATTGAGCAAAGGGTAAAAACAAAGTATTCATTACCATGCTGAGGAGCTGCTGTGCGGCTCCCTGCATGTCAAATAAACTTCAAAATCCATAATTAAAGGGTAGTTCTCAACCTGGAGACTATTTTCCCAGGTTTTGTGACTAAGGGGAAACTGGTCCAATGATGAGCAAGACCACTGCAGCTGTAAGCAGCAAAATGGGTTAGAATGTAACCACACAGACATGTTTGCATCATCAAAGGACATCCACTAAAAGTGCTTTGCCACTGACAGGCTCAAATTGTAGTGTCTGACAAGTAGGGTTGCAATGGTATGAGATTTTCAAGGTACAATAACTGTCTCAGTTTTACAGTATTACAGAATTTCTATTATTATGAGTCAAAATGACCCTTAAAGGAATGAAAACAGAAGGGATATCTTTTGTTGAACAAATTTTTATTACTGTAATTGAAACTTGAAACATTTTTTTAATGGTATGTGTAAGTATGTGTAAAAAGTCTCCCATTTGAAAATAACTAAATATAGCTGAGATTCTCCTCTTTCCTTTCATTTTATTTCAGCATTGCAGATAAGCAAATGGACAGGGTATGATAATTGTCATTTTTGATGTCACAGTATACCTTAAAACTGGCATATTTTGCTGCAGCTCTATTGACAAAATTATTGAAAGGACTCCTACAGAGATAGACCTTCTTTGTTTAAGAGTAAGACCCATTTTGTTTAAAAAGAAACAAACCCAAGATCACTATCGTCAGACCCACCAGACTCTATTATATAAACAATCATTATATTATCAGAAAACAAACTTCATTCAAAAGCAACAAACACAAAATAACTCCCACAGAAGCCATCTTGGTCCATTTTCTTACTTTTGGTTGGAATAAATCCTTAATTCGCGCAGTTTGTTCTATACACGCTAACATTAAAACGTTTTCCGTTCATTTTGTTAACTTCTTTTGTGTGACTTGACCAGCAGACTTCACTACAAGCTGATCGGCTGTTGAAACAGGTGATCAGCCTTAAGCTCTAAAACCAGCCACTGGCAACTTGACCAGCTGAATTGCAGGTGACACCATTAGCCAGCTTCTGTCAAGCTCAACCCGGCCAGTTCACACTGAAGCAACATTTCTCTGCAACATTCTAAAAGTGTTTGGTCTCGTCACAAATCATTGGTCTGAACTGGGTTTAATGGATAACGCATTGTGCATATAAGCCTCTGTGCTAGCTCCTTGCTTATGTGCCATCCATGGATGCCTCTAACATGGTGTTGTGTGTGACCATAAACAAAGCTTAAAAGCCTCCTGAGGCAACGCATTCTCACTCCAACCTCATCACATATTGACGTTTGGTCACTGACTTAACACATCAACATATGACATGCCAAGGTACCCCAGTATGTTAGTTGTTTACGTTCTGGGATGCTGTGTGAAATTCAGCTTGTTACAGGCATGATGTGTTTTTAAAATACACTTCCGTTTTCACAGTAAATGTACAGTTTCCATACAGTATCTTTCAAAATAAATGCACTACAGTGGTACAACACTGTGAATTGTTTTTTTTCCTTTAACAACAAACGCACATGGTCATGTTTAGCCAACAGATGCACGTGGTTGGGTTTAGGAAAAATGAACAGGGTTTGACTTAAAAATCACTGGCCTCCCACGCAAAAGTCAGTGGTTTTTGGACCCATCCACCACCCCTCCTGCCCTACACAGACTTTTACCACTTTAACTTTTGTTGTTGTCCTGCTGCATTTCCCCTTGATGCCACCAGGACAGGACTTTCATGCTAACATGAAAGGACGGCTTTTTTTGTCTGTGTATACTGCCGGAAGTCACTGACCAAGCGCTAGTTTTTGACCTCTTCGGAGTGACACCGGTTTGCCTGAGGATGTAATTGAGGACTGTTAAAAAAAAAAAAAACTAAAAAAAAAATCGGTTTATCCTTCCAAAAATAATGTTCCTTTTAGGTAGAAAAAATGTGTTACTGAATTTGGGTGAATCATCCATTAAAACTGACCAAATAAAGTCCTTACAATAATTAATAAATACACAGCCCTTGTATGTGTACAGTTACTTGGCTAGTTAAGCTGATTCTAATCTTCTTATTCAATTTACTGTATACTGTTACTAGTCAGAAAGTGGATAATTCAGAGCAGATTAATCACTAATCCATTACCTTTGATTTGAAATTCAAGAGCACGATGGGAACCAAGGAAGGAGGTGAGACAGATAACATCATAAGAGATACACCAGACTTATCAACATGTACAGAAAATACATCTACAGCAATAGGACGATGTGTGTGTGTGTGTGTGTGTGTGTGTGTGTGTTGTGTCCCAGCTGATCAGGTCAAGGTTACTCATGCAGACAAAGCTTAATTAAAGCAGAGCAGGAAGAATAAACCCAGTGGCATCCTGCCCAGCCTTCAGTAATCACACTTCGATACACCTGCCTTATGCTCTGACACACACGCACACACACACACACACGCACACACACACACACACACAGTCAATACAGATGTACAGCAACACAAACTCCCTCTTTCAGAGAAACATTGCCTGTACTGTGAATTAGAGTCGATCAGGGTGATCAGGAGTATAATGGTCATTTATTATTCATCAGTCAGCCTCATAGGAGCAAAGAAATAAAGAAAAAAACCATTCATCATCCACACACTCCTGTGGGAGTCCAGGTGTGTCTATGCATGTCATGAAAAAGGACCAGAAGGTCCAATGAATAACTCTTGGCTGTAAGTCATCTGAAAAAAAAGGACCTAGAATGCTGTGATTGTTGATGGGAACTGTGTGGAAAAGCGGGAAGAGGGACTGAGGCACAGTTAATACAGATTCAGAAAACCAGGACTGATAAGCAAAGCTCCTTTCCCACTAGACAAAAAACAAAAACAAAACAAGAATGACTTTACAATAGTAACTGGTAGTTAAGAACTCCTGCTCCAATCAGCTTTGATCAACACCCAGGTGGATGTGCTAATTTCAGCCCCTTTGCCAGCATGATGTAAGGATAGGCCAGCAGCAAATACCGCCCGTCTCCATCCAAGCATCGTTCAAACATCTTTCAAAATTTAGTTCTCTTAGTTTATTTTTTTCTTTTTAAATTAATTGCAAGACATTAAACAGAGCATCAACAAGACAGTGTAGACAAGACAAAACAGTGGATACAGGACAGGGAAATTGACCATAGAACAGGAGAGCAAAATGTCATTCTGGTGTTGTGTTTTATGTGCATACTTGCGTGCATGCATGTGTGTGTGCGTGTAGCTATTAAATAAGGTGTAAACAAAAATCACACATTCACACACAGACCAACAAACAAGCAAACAAAAAACAAGCAAACAAACAAACAAAAAGGGCTAACTGACAGAATAATACTATTGCTGACACTACTTTCACCACCACTAATAACTCTAATACCTATATGGTCAGGGAGGGTGACAGCAGCACATCCACCCCTGCCACTGGGAGCGAAACGGGATCGGGGCACCGTCCCGGGGCTCCGGAGTGGGCTGGCAGGGCACACACGGTAGGTTACGTGTTTTATTTGTTATTTATTACTACCTTCAAAATATTGTTACTGTGAATATCTTTCCCACCTGGGACCATATTTGTTGTCGTGTTTGTTTGGTATCATTTTGTTTTGTTTTTTGTTTTTATTTGTTGTATTTTGCTGGTCCCAATTTGGGTCGCCCCCAGAACGACTTAGGAGGGAGCTTGCCCATTTGGGTTTGATCCCCTCCTAATCTGCCTCCTGACCTGCCTGTTTTAAAGGGAGTCAGCAGTAAAACTTGACTGTATTGTAGTTGAATTGAAGAACACAGTGACACAGCCCTGTCCCCCCCTGCCTCCAACTCCAGAGATACCAATTACGGCACTCGAGGTCTATCCATCCCAACCAACAGGGACAGGGGGGTGCATCGCCACCACTGCACCCATATGGTGGTGATGGCAGTGAAATGAAATATATGTATTGTATTGTATAATTTATTTATTTTTTAAAAAAAAGGGAAGGCGGGGGGGTTAAATAAAA